TTTTCTCCAGAAATGTTTGCTTCTAAATCCACTTTAGACTACGGAAGAGTCACAACACTAAAAATTGTACGATAAAGACCCTGAAAAAATTGTACGATAAAGACCCGGCTTGACAGGCAGGTACGGACGTGGGAGAAGCGGGGGACTACTTACTTGACTTGCCGAAATAAAAAACGAGCGGACCGAGTTTCATTGTCGCGTCAACTTGCTGCATCTCCTTCATCCACTACTTCTACTAACTCCACTGTTTACCTCCTCATTTTCGGTGCTTCGGTGGTGAGGGTGTAAAATGAATCTTAAGAAAAATTACTGTCATATTTGTCATTAGTCTATATCTTTTTTATTTTTAGGTTAAATCACATAAAAATTACCTATTTACTTTCTTTTATAATGTTGTCTTTTGTTAACATGAATAGATTAAGAAGAAATGGCTATTTGATATATCATGGCAAGCGACGTTTCCCGTCTCTAATAGTATAATATGTTCCTCTCCTGCACCTTTTCTCCTTAATCTTCTTGTCCGCTTGCAAGGATCGCTCTCCGCAAATATAGGTCGATCGCGACGCGCCTACTTACCAACCTACCTACCTGTGGACCCAGACTGATGATCAGGCGAGGTCTAGTCCAGTATATCCTACTTCTCAAGTATCCTTTATCCGGAAACATTCCTTTTTTACATTAAGCTGCCGAGACGTAAACTTATGTAAAAAAGAGGAATGTGGTGTATCGAAACAGGAGGTCGAAATCTTATTAAAATTCAACATATAACGGCTGTTGCACACTTCAGAACTGCTTCGAGTAAGAAATATGTAGGTAGAATAGTGGTACCTATCTATTCGCACGGGTCATAACAAATACAAATGAAATTTAAATTTATAAAAAAATAAGATTAAGAACCCAACTCTCACCCTTGGTTCCCCTTGTCTCTTACTTTTAGTCAATTTTTATTACTCTGTAATATCAATGTACCTACTACTAATTACTACTGATATTAGTTAGAGCATTTGTATTAATCAGCCTTAGTGGTGGAACCTGGTTACTTTTTGGGTTCATAGTTAACTAGGGTTGTATACAGATTTTCTTGTCATGGATGGGCGGGGTGAATGTTAGATCTGTTGATTACTTCGCTATTTCAGCATTTTAGGTGGTTATCTTAAGCCTTTGTCAAACAGAACGCGTACTTAGCGCGCGTCAGAGCGCTAAACTAACGCCGCGCTATGAGGCCGAGATGTGTTGTACTACTATGGTAACATACCGTCAAACAGAGCGCCAGCGCTATAGCGCTTATAGCGCTGGCGCTCTGTGTGACGGCATGTTACCACAGTAGTACATCACATCTCGGCTTTAACTCTCAGACACAGCCCACTGTTTCTCGCCGGATCTTCTCAGTGGGTCGCGTTTCCGATCCGGTGGTAGATTCTGCGAAGCACGGCTCTTGCTTGGGTTCGTGTTAGCAACGTCATCAGGTTTGAGCCCCGTGAGTTCACCTACTAGCCACGGTTACGCTGAAATAGCCCCTAAGGCTATTAGCAGCAGCAAGCAGCTTAGGTAGGAAAAAAAAAAACATCTCGGCGTCATAGCGTAGCGCTCTGACGCGCGCTAATTACGCGTTCTGTTTGACGAAGCCTTTAAGTTATACTTCTTCGCCTACAATAATATCTTAGCATATTGTCTGTCCAAAACTGCTGAAATTGAAAAATTGTCTTTCCTATTCTATCATTGAATGATAATCATTTTATCCTGTCAGAGAGAGATGAAAAAACTTACATGGATGACAATATGCACCCATTCTAACTGCGTAAATATCTATGTGTGTTCTAAAATAATTTACGTAACGTACCTAAGTTGTGAAAACACTGTCTGCTTCGGTCTAGCTTCATAGGCAATTGTACTAATACCTAATTACAGTTGTAAAGTGTCAGTGTTGTATGTATGAAATATATAAAATAATAATACAACAGCATGACACTGGTATGTCGGTTCGTTGAGTGACTGTTTCAATGATTCATTCGATGACGTACCAATGTACGACCGCTTAGTGCACAGCATCGTCGAGAGTCGAGTGAGCCGTTTACTTTAGTGGTCTCGCTGTCGCCGCACGCATCGCATAATATGCGACGCTATTTTAAATTCAGTTTGTTCTCGGACAGTTGTACACACATCGCATTACTATGCTGGTTGATTAATGTTTTTATGGGCACTTGACCATGAATTTAGTTTTTTGGGTCTTCTTGTCTTTGGTTCATTCAGAGGTAGGTTTTCGCAGTTTGTCTTTAAGCACGAAAGATATTGCTTCTCATAGTGTTGTAGTGAACGTGTTGGTTCACCACAGTGTACATTCTGTCGAAGCAATATTTCTATTTGGACTATCTGTAATTTAAGGTACAGCAGTACACGAGGCGGGCGACGCCTGTACCCGACGAAGTAGGCGGTGTCGGGCGACCGCCCTCCGCGGGCCCCGGGCGAGCGCTGTGAAAAAGGCATGGGCGCGGGGCGCCGTTGTACGGACCCAGTAACAAATATACTTCACGAACTGTTATCGTTTTAGTGATTGCTTGTATTTAATGTTATCGATAATAAAAAATATATTTTTATATTTTACAAAAATACTTATTGTTGTTACTAAAAACTTATCATAGAGCCAAGCGTACTAGCCTAAAGCACAAGAACGAAAATTTTCATTTCGTTAAATACATTCATAGTCATGCTATGCTCGTTGAACACACATACCGAATATGCAGTGTTATTAAAGAAAAAATTACAGATACAATAGTTCGTGTTTAAAATATTTTTTCTCTCAAATGATTTGTCGTCAATCCAGGTTAGCTAACTCTTTGTACTAGAAATTAAGCAAATTTGCCTTAATGTAAAATTAACAGTATTTGAACAGGTTTTATTATATTTCTATCTATGCCGCAAATACTGAAGTTGCGAGGAACGAAGTAGATATGTGTAATTTATACGACATTTTAAATATATTTATTTCTCGAATGTTAATTTCATATATTAGAGATTAATTATGGATATTTTTTCGACATCTCAACAGAACTAACGTAACAATGTTTTTACATATATACATAATAATTATCAAGATGATTATTTATCACAAAGAAGATTGATTAATTTGTCCAAAAAACATAATAATAACAGTTCCAATTACAAAAAACGTCCGTAACGCTGTTCGAAAAGAGCGAAGTGAGGTTCGTTCCCGTAGACTCCACTGGCGATAGCACTGCCGCTTCTACGAGACTCTTTCTATTTTTTAATAATGTATGTTTAAATCAAAGATATAGCATTTTACAAACTTTATTTTTAACATTGATGAGCGAAAAACAAACTATTGTTTACTTTATGATTGGCAACCTTAATTGTGCCTCGGCGATTGTAAGCGCTCTTAATAAAAATGATTTTTGAAAACCTTCAAGGTACGAACTCTTACGATTCAATAAAAAATCATGAAAAAAGAGGTCTAGCGCGTGTGCAACAGTGCACAGTGAAGGGATCTTTAGTGAAGATAGGACATTTACAGTGAAATTCCAGTTAATGATTAATTAAATAAGTGTAGTATTGTTCACAAATCTAGGCTCGACCGTATTTCCGTTATAAACATATTTTTATTACCATGACTAAAAAATTTTTTTAGTTTATTCTCATCAGTCTATAATAGACTTCCACTGCTGGACATAGGACAGACCTTTCTCAAGTTTTATCTACATTTATTTTTTAATAGTAATATCAGACTGACAACTCAGACAGACTAATATCAGAGTAATATCATTGACCTCAATGCGAAATTTCCACGTAAGAGCAACTGTTATCTTTCTTTCTGTTGACGATTGTTCACCAGCGAGCCAGATCTTCAGCAGCGCTGACAGCCTTGAGACAACAATAGATATTGGCGGAGACCTGGTCAGATCAGCGTATTGGCTTCTGGCCTTTGGTATCTCTTTCTGTCCATATTGCGAGTCAACAACAAATTTATAAAAAATATTTTTTTGTTATAACTGAATCACTTTATAAATATGTTACTTAAAAGATGTTCTCCATTATAATTTTAGGTTCCGAGTAAAAAATCATTAAGTAGGAGATCCAGTTGACAGTCGTTTCTTATTTTATCTAATATAATAGTATGCGTACTACCTATGCATCTCACTCAAAATATGTTTATTAATCTTACTTTCGTCCAAACATGTCTGTTCTATAATTCAAATTATCTAAACAGCATCATTATACCTTCCTATCTGGCTAAGATACTGCTCTATCAAAATAATTTAATAATTATCAGTTAAAGAGTGCCTTATTAGACAACTAAAACAATGCAGGGCAGATTTCGGGCAGATTAAATGAGGACCTAATGATAAATAACAGCAGAGTAGGAAGGTAGGATTCTTGGTAAATTAAGTACGAATCGATAATTACGAATTAATTCTATTTATAATAGTTAATAGAGTAATATCACGACAGAACAATTTAATTTATTTAATGATAATATATTTTATTCCCCAAAATAGTAAAAATAGTCATGTCGTCGCAGCCGTATGTAACATAACTCGATAAACACGCAATAAAATCGAGCCTGACTAAAACTAATCATTTTTTAATCCTGGTGATCTTGTTCAGGATATTAGTACAAAGTAATCAAATTATTGTCGTCGCGTCAGATGAAAATTGAAAAATTATTTCTTATATATAGACATAGTTCAAATTAATAAAGTGCGCTGATTAATATTATTATTTGATAAAGCGACAGCTGCGGTTTTATTAAAACATATAGGTCCTAAGCATTAAATAAACTTCGAAACTAATACATACTGATTCGAAATGATTATTGAAATTAATATTGTAAAGTAAATCTTTTTACATTCGACAAGTTCAAAATCGATAGTTGGCGCTTCACTAAGGTGTGGCAGGCTCTCCCCGCGGGCCCCAGCTCAGCCACGCCCAGCGCGCGCATTCTCAAACAAAATCCACACGAAATGGTTGTACGAAGAATCGAATAGAGTCGGCGCCGCTCCTTCGTTACAGTGACGCACGTCACATCAGCTAGGCAGCTCAGTTGGGTAGTGATCTCGATAGCTGACGAACCTTACGCACGCCGTGCACACGTGCCATACGCGTCTGTATCCCTTCTCCGCAACGATTCCGCAGTCCGTCGTTCTGTAATCGGTAAAACCGTCCATCGACGCCGTTTGCACTCGGTGCCGTTCCATTCATTACCTCTATTTGATATCAGAAAATTATAATGCTGAATTAAAAACACTATATTCGTGCTTACCGGCCCACGTGTGGTTTCTAGATGTTTGTTAATATTGTCAAATTTTAAAGTTCAGGCCGATTTTTCTGATTGTAAGCGTGATTTTTTTTTATCTTGCGTGTCAAACGCAAGCCGGATTTAATTTTAAACGCGGTACTCAAAAGCCTTCAAAATTTATTCAAGTGTGATAATGTCTAATCCAATGGAGCAACAGTTCGAGCTTAATTTATCACAAGAGGACCATGATCAAATATTTGAACAAGACGATCTCCACGATCAAAGGTCAGTACTATTCCACGTCAAACACGCTACTATTGTTTTAGAGTAGTCAGTAGACACTAAAGGTGTTGAATTGCATAGTGAAGTTCAGCTTGGTTACGTATGAACATATACCGCCACTGAGCTTTGTCTAGGGATGCCATGTTCACTTCACCCACTTATGCAGTAAAATATCAAAACGAAAAGTTGAATCCTCTGTTGATTGACCTACAGTATATCCGGCCTATTCACGCTTACTATTTTATATTTATTTAACTACTTTGTAAATTCATGCCAATGTGTGTCCATAACAGTTACATCTTATTTCGTTCTGGTTACTAGATCTTAAATATCTACTTGATCAATTAACGCGACGTAATTCGAAATATTTGAAAAAGATAGACTGAGAACAGTAATCTCAACGTTGTCAAATTTCGTATCATTAACAAACTTATTCGTATTTGTTACATACACCTACCTATGCCTAACCTGTATCTGTAAAACTTGTGTATGAATTTCAATATGCTTGTGTGAAATTACTATTGTAATTAAACATTTTTTAAGTAATAAATTTTCGAGATCGATAAAATAATACCACCTCATCGTTGACAACCCTACCCGTGATTTCCAGCGTGTTAGCTGTATCGATTTTATCCACGGGTTTTGGGGCCCCAGTTAGTACAAATCTGAAGTTGTGAATGAGTAGGCTGCACAGATAAATGTACAATTAATATGTTCGGTGTTATATATTTAGTGATTTCTACTCTTGCTGCTGTCTCTGCTTAAAGGCGCGGTTAGCGAACGCGTGCGTTCAGCTTCATTTACGAGTTCGATACTACAAATAGTGGGGTGGTAATTTATCGCGCGACTTTTTTTATATTGCGTTTTTTAACATCAGTCGCGGGATATAACTATCATTGCGTGTTAAATGAAGTAAATAGCACATTGAATATTCGACGCCAACAGTCAAAAAAGAACGAACTTCACGAAACCACTTTCAACAAACTCACGGGCGCATTAAACCTTCTACTATTACAACAGATGCAAGTTTGAAGAATAGTGTCGTTGCTTTTTTTTTAAATAATATACTTCGTTACAAATTTTTTGTTACTGTTTCAAATTAATGCCTGTTTTAAACTTATGAAAAATCTTACGAAATCGCTATTTATCATTGTCTTTCAATTATTCAATTTTACCCCGTGACGAAGGATACCTTTGTCATGGCGAAGTGGTACTTCACGAAAGGAAAATGAATTGTGCTAAACATAGCATAAGTCGCCCTCGCATTGGCTCCCACCTCCAAACCAGAGCGCTCAAGTACCAAATGTTTCCGTTTAAGTACAAAAAATAGTCACGTGTACTTTTACTCCCACTAACTAGCTTCACATCACAGAACGTTGAACAGCAAACTACCCGCCTCCCACCTCCAAACCAGAGCGCTCAAGTACCAAATGATTCCATTTAAGTACAAAAAATAGTCACGTGTACTTTTACTCCCACTAACTAGCTTCACATCACAGAACGTTGAACAACAAACTACCCGCCTAACCTCCAAACCAGAGCGCTCAAGTACCAAATGATTCCATTTAAGTACAAAAAAATTGTTACGAGTACTTTTACTCCCACTAACTAGCTTCACATCACAGAACGTTGGACAAGAAACTACCCGCGTTTTTTTTAATGAGTGTGCATGCTAGTCCATGTGAAAATACAGTACAATAGTCTATATCCAGAATACGACTGCCCACCTTATCAAAATACTAATGAAGACGAGACACTTTATTCTTGAAAGGTTGTTATTTCGTCTTCGTTCGCTTCTTCATTTTAATATTTATTTTTATCGTGCTTGTAAAATAAGTCCTCTCTTGCGGTGTAGGTGGGATATACAAAATAATTTCATTACCTACATAATGATAATCATATAAATAGTATCCTCTGCAGACTTTACGTTGTATTAAACTTTTCATACTCATTTGTCTAGTACACGGCAAGAGATGAGGTGCTGTTATTCTAAACTGAAAAAATGTATACATTTTAGTGGGTTGTCCATGTAGGATCTTCATAAAATGTAATTTGTTTATTCTTTTTATTGATATTACCTATATTTGTATTTTTTTAATGTCGGCACATTTTTTAACGTAACAGCGCTTATCTCATCTATCTTTCTTTTTTTTTTTATTCGTTATAGTTATCCTTATAATTCTTGTTTTAATAGTTAAGTAGAGCAGTGTATCTGGAAACGGAAAGTCTGGAAAGACGAACAAGAATACATTGGTATACATAAATCGAATACTCGTCTTTCCCCATCATGCTTTATGGCTAAAATCTGGACTCCGAATGTTACCGAGTCTTGAGAATCGGACAGCTTTACGAATAAATAAAATGCTTTTCTGCAAAGTTCCAGTTATAAACGTCCGTCAACTATGTGTTCGTGTCTAGCATTTTTTTGGTCACATTGCCCGTAGAAACCCGAAATGGCTCAATATTTCCCACGAAGGCAAACGGCTTGTACGTTGAAGCCCAAAGCGAGGGTGGTCTGATCAGGTGACTCGGCAACCCCAATTTCTTTAATATTTCTTATTACCAATAGAAATAATGTAGCAATAGTTTATGATATTTTTCGTCATTATTTGATCTAGTCGTTTCGCGGGTCGTCTTTAGATATTGTTGTTATTCAAAGATTTCTTATGCTTAGCAACGAGATTCAGGGGACAATGTTTTATTTATGTATTTTGTCTGGTGTCATTACACTACGTTATTCTGCTTCCTCCATGAATCATAAATGATTGAACCCTTTTATCACAAAATACATCGGGTCGTGTACTTAAACAGTATTTTCTCATATTTTAAACATGGTCTTATACAACCGTAACAGTAGTTGAAACATTCAAGGTATTTTAATAAATCAGAATATATTGTTATTCGATTTTCACTGTAAATTCATTCATTTCTGTCATGTGATCTATCTGTATGTTGACCTTTATGTAAAGTTTTTTCATTGACTGTGCGTATATTTTAATAATAAGTTGAAACCATATCAATCCGCATTTTCTTTAAAGAATTATTTAACGTACACATCAAGTAGACTGATGTAACTTTTTCCTGCCTCGCTTTTCACCAATTTTATATATACTAGTGGTCCCCTGGTAGTCGAAATTCGACTATAATTAATTGAAATTATAAGTTTAAACATTATTATGGTTCTATTGTCAAAGACTATTATACTTCTATATTCATAGATTTCGCTAAGATTACACTTAGACAAATATTAATAAAGATAAACAATATTAATATATTCTCAATTTGACCACAGACTTTATGCAATAAGAAAAGTTTGACAGTAAAGAAATAGTATGCACGCGTGTGTGTGTTAAATACGTTGTAATGTGTGTATTGTTTTTCTTATTGATTTAATGTATTTTTATGCATAATTTAAAAAAATATTAGCTTCTGCACTCCTCTATATTCTCTTATAAGTGTGGAGAATTTCGTACTCCTCCTTCCGCGTAATTTGCGTAAATTTATTCCTTTTATAAATCATAAAATTAATTAAAATGAGATAAATAACTATAAATGAAATAGTGCAATTAGTCTTAAATGTCTATTAAGCAAATTTAAAAATTATTTATAATACTTGTAATATGTACGCACTGCGCTGCAATTCTGAAGTTTTAAATATAACACTATTTAAAACAAATTCGAATCAAATTCCAGTTTAAGGGCTTTCCTAACCTAATCTGCTTCATTAAAGTACCCAGTTACGCAATACACATGTCATTGTGCGCGCTGAAATGCGCCAATGCATATCACTTGTAGGGTTGCCACCTTAGTATATAAATATAATTTCGAATAATAAAAAGATAGTTCTAACGTCATTCTTAAATGAGTTCTCGATAATCTAGTTTATTTTGTACAGTTAAAGTACCTTTCCGCCTATTAGAGAACAACCAAAATGAAGTCTGAATTTCTTTGCAGACATCTTGGCTCTCGGTCGATACACTTATCAGAGGTAGTTCGTATTGTGAGTTTTTTTGCATAAACAGATCCTTGCAATGCACTTCATAAGGTTTGATCTTTACAGTGAACTTCCATTCCTATTAGAAGAGGTTGACTCAAAATTTTTCGAACCGATCTGATGATAACTTCTTTTTTCTGCTACCTGACTCAAACAAATGCACCTCTTAAATTAACACGGTTAATTCTATAAATATGGTTTCAAAGCGGTCTCCGTCGACTGAACTTTTGACACTTTTACTTCTATACCCTATAAAATGACAGTCGGATGTTCACCGCCAAAGGCTCGCTCGCCCGTATGTAGTGAGTGGTCTGTGAGAAACAAGAAAAAGCAATGACTTAGCGACCGTGAAGGATATTGGCAGTCTAAGGAATTGAATAAATTAGCTACCCTACACACCCTATCACCTGGGATGTAATCGCGATTGTTTCGTATTTAATAGGTACGGATCGGTCACTTTTTTTTTGGGAATGGGAAGGGCATGAGCAAACCGTGGCAAAAGATTTGCTGATTTATTGAAAACGATACGTTGTTGACAACGCGTTGTAACTGAATTGTTACACGTTACAAAAATGATTGAATTTTTAAATAAATATAAATTCGAACACAAAGAACTGCTTCCTTCTTTCAACCGTAAGTTTTCACAAAAAGCTAGTTTATAAAATTTCAGTGGTTCGAAAAAACAAAATATCAGATGAATAAAAAAATGTTTTACCACTCGTGGTTTCAATGAATCCAAATAATGAATGATTTAGGTAATTAGTGTATAAATTTTACTTATCAAAGAAAGAATTTACTTTAGACAAGTTATCCATTTTTGAAGGTCATTTCATATTTATCATATTTTAATGTTACTATTGTAACTGAGAACTTTTTTTCTTTTAGTTAATATTTTTACAACATTGCTTATAAAATAAGTCGAAATGGGTAAAAATAAATAATTTCGTGTTTTATTGCTTTCATAAATTTCCCGAAATGACGTGGGGGCGTTATAGTAAAGTACAGATGG